AGCCAATAATAATAATAATGCAATCACTGATCCACTAGTACCCGCTCACACTGTATGGGATGAAGACTGGTCGATTTTAGGTGGAAGACCAACTGATTTAGCTCCGAATGCACCAAATTCCAATGCGGGAGTAATACTATGGCTGCTGGAATTCGTATTGGTCAAAGACCATATCACTTTTTACATGACTTTCCCACTGTTACCGCTGAAAAGTCTAAAGTCGCGTTTCAGCCTATCTTCCAGGGTACTGATACTATAAGTCGTTTCTGTGCTAAACTAAGAAGAATGGTAAAGCTTGCTTACCCAATGCTTCCTGCGGTAAATCAGGATGAATTAGTTAAACAGCAATTTTATTTATGCGATACTTGCCAGCATTTGCGAAATGACTTACAGTTCAAAGCTCGTAAAGGGGAAGAAGCCCAAGATCTATTAAAGAAATATAAAGAGCATCTGGCCAAAGCCAAACTAGAGAGAAATTATTATAACAAAAATACCAAGTTGGCAAAAGAACAAAAAAAAGTCGTTGATCAAAATTATTCCATACTAAAAGGTGAGATACCACACTGTATATGTAGCATTGACGCGGTTGCCCATTACAGTTATGACTGAGCCCAAAATGTTCACGTACCTCACTCGGATCAACAGATCAGTAAGATGTAAACACTAAAATCCCAATGAAGATCGATTTTACATTGGGGACAAGTGGCGACAATTCTGTCTCATTTTCATTGACCGCGATCGTTGAATTGTTTTATTCTTCAAGGCCAATCATCTCTCTCTTTATTTTTAAACTTTTCTAAGGCTTCTCTAAAGATTTTTTTTTATTTTTTTCTCATTCTTTAATTCTTGTTGAACCATGTTTTGGGTACAGTCTCAACAATAAAATTTGTTAGCTCTTTCTTCAGTGTCAGGGACTGGAACTGAAAATTCATTTCCTTCTTTTATATCGTGACAATTAAAACATTCTTTTTTTCCATTATTTTTTTATTTATTTAAATTATTATTCTATAAGGAGTTTTACAAAAAGAACGACAGGTAGTTATCCGTTGACAACGCCAGGGTAAGTGCGAGGTTTTGCATGCCACGGAATGCTGGCTTATCAGGGCTAGAACCTTAAAGCAACTACACAAGTCATTCTACGAAGAAACCTCAGGAGATTATCTCCCAAAGGAATTATTACAAGCCAGACAAAACATTGACAGCGAAGCCAGGACTTTGAAAATCACCACACAGCTGTTTCAGATCGAAGATTTGTTTAATACTTGATCAAAAGCGCGAATGGTTAATCTGAGTGACGTCATTTGTTCACTTTGTTGCAGCACGCCCCATATAATGCATAATTAAATTGTTGCACGATTGTTTCACCTGCCTAATCAAGATTGTCTCGCGCTGATCGTATGTTATCGACTTGCATCACGACTATAGTTTTTCTAACAATTTTTAATACACTAAAGAGCTTTTGAGGACTCAGTTTATGACATTAGTTTCTTGCACTAATTTCAGTGTCTTTATTTGTAATAACTCAAAACCAATAAGGAAGATTCGAATTTTCTAAACTGTTATGGGTATGGGATATTTATATTTACATATCTACAATATTTAAACCCTTTCAAACTGATAGGACACAAAAGTTTGTGTTGGCCAGCAACATAAATCTATTGCCTTGCGGGATCGATATATATATGGTAGGAGCACTGCTTCTGACGTACCAAATTTAGAATAACTATCGTTAGAAACAGGAACATCACTGTGTGAACCCTAGCATGCAATTTGCATATGGTGACGAAAAAAGAAAAATTCCGTATATTCGATATTCATACGGCTTGTTGCAGGTTGCAGAAAGATCTGTCACCTAACTAAATGCTATAGTACCACATTATTGATCAGGAAAAAGATATTTAGAACCTTAAAAACAAACACCAGATTAGGAAACTAATTACGAATACAGGTACGTCTGCCTTACAATCAATCAGATTGGTCTAATAATACTGCAAGTTGTTTAAACTGAATTCTCACATCATTGTATGCGAGATTTGTATAAGCTGTATAATATTATTGTTAGTTGGTGAGCAGTGCTGACGGTATCGACGAGTTAAGAGATAGACGTTTCACAAAGATAGAAAGGGTATTCCGATAGTCAATGCGATTAACTTTAAACGAGGCGCGAAATAAAATTATATGTCTGTCAAGCATTAAACACGAGCTTTTTTTATGCGTCGTTAACAAACTTGTATAAAGGTTTCGTACACAAAATCATAAGAAAACGAGGCGGCTTTGATGCTAAACACATGATTGAACAAATAAAGAGTTTCTCAAAGACGAAAATTAGCTGACGATATTACCAAGTCTTTCAAATCTGGACAAGAGAAAATGGGGGTGTCTGTGATTTAAATCTAATCATGTTATAGACCGGGATTGCATTCGTTCACATTTTGACTTGTCCTCGTTGCAGTTAGTAATTATATTGCGGTTCTAGTGGACACGTAATTAAACGGAGTCTGGCTTTGTCAACAAACAAAAGAGGATTGCGTGATTGGTTTAACAATATGAAAGAAGAAACGTTTTCAACACCTTGAGGTTATACATTTTCGGAAAGTTCATTTTAAGATTTCGTAATTTTGGGATAAAATGAGTGCCAACGCAACGGTCCTACCATATGCAACTAGGGCTTATTCTATGGATCATCAAGAACTTTCACACATTTTCTATAGTACAGAATACGAATTACGCATTTGTCATAATAATCTTGGTCGTTATCAATTTACAAATGATCAGCCAAATGGAAGATCATCTACACGAAAATCATCTTTGATGGATACAATACCTCCCATAGTATAGTGTATGCAAACGGAAAAGGTAAACGCATGAGACGTTTATGAAATGGAACTCCTTTCCAGCCAATCATTTCCAGTCGGCTACTCCTTGATTTTAACATGGCCCTTACTCTTCGAAAATGGCCACATTCCCTGCTCATATTTAAAATTTTCCATCGGATCCATTCAAAATCAACATATTTATCATAAACGTCATATCGAGACTAGCATTCTATAAACGTAATAAGGGAAACCTTTACTAGTATGGTACACGTACAATTAACATGCTTTTCTTTTGCAGAGTAAACAAAAAAGGGGAGAATCGACATCAGCCTGTTCACAGATTTTCAATACTCGATTATCCAACAAAATATTGTTTGTACGTTAGCTCGATTACTCGATTTATTTCTTTCGAGGTTATTATCTAAGCGATAATCTATCATAATGGACTGATCATCTGACAATCGAATTCAAAACCGGTCTACGACCTGGGCCCGAATTAGCAAAAAGCGTTCAACTTGGGAAAATCAATTCATTTACCCCTTATCACCCAAACATTGTACATTCCATTCCTTCTTCTGCAGGTCCCCACCTTATCAAAACCTGCTTCCGGAGACCATACTTCCTGCAACTGAAAAGGGAGACTATCACGTTGTGTATTACACTTTGGACAACGTCGATCGTTTGTGTTGCTTGCTTAACGCAAAATTACTTTACTTGTCCCATTCGGCCTTACATACACGGCGTCCAACTATCCAACAAGATATCATACTCAGCGCCATCCACTTCCCACCCCGATTTGCGGATGCTCACGCGGATTGCACAGAAATTCAATCAGGAAGAACCTGTCATGTGTATGTTAAGGAAAACGAGATCGAATGGGCGTCTTCAAGATGAGATTTAAAACGCAACTCGAAAAAAAAAAAAAAAGCAAAAAGAGAAAGATTAAATCAGTGTCTAGACCATGCAAATGGATCAAAGGATGACATTGTGCAGCCCAATTCAGCAACTAACAACCAGATAATTTCGGGCCGTTTCAGTCACAAATGTGGCAAAGCAAAGTCAGTGGTCAGATCCACCCGTTTGGTCGGATTATGATTATAGCAATTACGCACACGTATCATTGGGGGGGGAAATATACATGCATAGTACAATGAAATGTAAGCAACTTCCCGCTTGTGCGACGAACCCACCTAGAATTACAGCAAACTCTCTCTTCTCCAGAACGTTAAGTTAATCGTCCCTTTAAAACTTCAACC